AAGATACTACACGCCACGAATGGGAGTTTAGCAAGGACGCGGTTGCAGCTTGTGACAAGCTACAGGTAGCTCACTGATTTGTTTGTCTTACTTCAGAAAACATGTGTACCTCTATGGCAGGTTGTGGCTTATGATTTTGGTGTCAAGCATAACATATTGCAGCGCTTGGCTTCTTATGGCTGCAACATCACGGTGGTGCCGTCAAACTGGCCGGTCTCGGAAGTGATGAAGTTAAAACCAGATGGCATTCTTTTCAGCAATGGACCCGGTGATCCATCTGCGGTACCATATGCCGTCGAAACGGTGAAGGAGCTGCTGGGACAGGTTCCAGTGTTTGGCATTTGCATGGGGCATCAACTCCTGGGACAAGCACTGGGTGGAAAAACGTTCAAGATGAAGTTTGGCCATCACGGTGGTAACCATCCTGTTCGCCATCTTCCTACGGGACGTGTTGAGATTAGCTCCCAGGTACGAATTACCACAGCTATTCACTGGTCACTAAGCTAATGCTTGATAATTTCTTTTTCCTCTTTAGAATCACAATTACGCTGTGGATATTGCGACTTTGCCGGAGGGAGTGGAGGTCACTCACGTCAACTTGAACGACGGAACTTGTGCCGGGTTAACGTACCCGGCCATGAAGGTGATGGGCATACAATACCACCCGGAGTCGTCTCCAGGCCCGCATGACGCTGATCCAGGTAAGGCTGCAAATCTCTCAATCAATCAAACGTCTCGCTAACCTTTGTTTTGTTGATGACAGCGTTTTTTGAGTTTGTTCAAATGATGATACAAAACCGGCTGCTGCAATGACAAGATTTTGATTGAAGGAAACCCGTGATCGTTTCTTTCAGCCCGGAGTAAATAATACCATGGTTTTTGGGGGGTCATGGACCGAAATTGTGATTGCCCGTCTCACTCCGGAAGGAACCATTTGGAAATAAATGGCTAAGGTTTTGTGTGACCGTTGGATTGGATTTTGATTGCCACCGCTCCAGCGATTTGAGATTCCTACAATCTAGCCGAAGGATGGAGAGAAAATTTTTTAAATGACGATAAAATCGTATATGGCGACCGTGGAAATGATTGGAACTTCATGGTGATACCAACAACTTTGGTGCCGTGGGGATATTCCAAATCTGGTAAAATGGGCAACATTTCGCCAGTGTAAACGAGCCTCCAGCTTAAGGACTCATGTCCTTGGGCACGTTATCAATCATAATAATTAAATGCGAGGCTGGCATGGCCACAATAAAATCGTGTAATTGGCAGTTTCGGCGCTTCGGCCTGGGGACGGTGTCTTTCTTTACTGTCCGGCGTCCGGCGCAGTAAAAGCCATATTTTTACTCCGCGATAAGGACCGAGGAAACGGAAGAACGCCGCCGATCCACACCGATTTTCACACTATGCGCGGGTCAACGTCAAATCCGTTTTTACCGGGCTTCGCGCCATTTTCTCTGACGTGGCTTTTGTATGTCCGTACGTGCCATGTAGGATGGTATGAATTGTATGTATGAAATTGCTGCAGCTCTTCCTGGTAATCTAGGTAATAGGAGAGTACAGTCGCCGAACACAATACTTCATCGTAGGTTGTACAATATTCCATCGCGCCCCACATATCCTTGTACAAGAAGCGTACGGACGTGTACTTGCATCCACCACCTTATATTTCTTAATGGTTGATAGGCATTTCCAAGAGTGGTTGTTTGTTTCAAAAGATGAACCACCACTAATTAGCTATGATTCATTGAACATAGTTTTACGTTTTTACCTTTTTCTGCACTCAAATTTTTAAAATAACGTGATGGAATTTTTGGGAATAAATCTTGGGATGGAGAAAATCTAGTTGTCAGGAAATAATTCACAATCATCACAGGCTAATATTTATGAGGTTTCAGGGCAGAACCAGCCAGAGCAGAGATTCTTAACTGGTATTTCCCCTCCATTTTCCACATTTGACCCTGTTGCTGCCACTGCTGCCAGTGGCACCAGAGAGCTAATGGTGAAAAGCCTCAAAATCCTGATTTTCTTACCACCTCAACCATGGTAAAATTGGAAGGGATGTCAACATTCCAGTGATGGATGCAATGCAATTGATTAGCAAGAAAAAGCAGGCCTAGATAAAACCTGTGTGCCTCATATGTAGTATATGATGTGCATACATTGTTCACCAAGTCAGCACCCTGTGTTGTGTGGCTGTGGGGATCCCAGAGGTGTGTTGTCATTGGAAGCTTTGGATTCTTGCAAGAAAGGATAGTGCAATTGCTGCTGCTGCTGTTGCTGCTGCTGCTGCTGCTGTTGCTGTTGCTGTTGCTGTTGATGATGAACCAAAGCTGGTGATGGCGGCAATTGGTGCTGCTGGATTTGAGCCTGGGACCTGGAAGACGAGGAGCAATGCCCGCCAAACCCAGCGCCATATGATCGCAGTTGTCCTTGCTGCGCAGCGCTGTAGATCATGTTGGAGACATGACTCATGGACGACTGCTGCCTCTGGAGCATGAACTGGTGCTGGCAATTCTGGTCTGGCTGCTCCGGGAAGTAGCAGAATTCCTCCTTGATAGCGGGAACTTGGGCGGCGGCGGCGGCGCTCGCGACTACGGAGCTGGGGAAGAGGTTACTGAGATGCGGATGGAGCGAAGACACCACGCAGTCCCTGCTGCCACTGCTGCTGCTGTCGAGAAATCCCCCGAATTGATTGCTGGCGGCATTGCCACCGAAGAGGATCGAGGACGTGTTGATGCGAGGAGGAGCCGCCGCTCCCTCGCTGGAAGCCGGGGACACGTATGGCGAGGGCGACGAGAGGTTGGAGCCGTGATGGACCGCTCCAATTCCAATGTGGCGCGGCGAGGCGGTGGTGGAGCAATCCCCGGCCCGGCCAGCGTCCGCCGCTGCTAGATCCGCCAGCAGCCTCGTGTATCCCGCCGCTGCCCCTACACTCGAGCCCATGAGGTTGCTAAGACTGTTGTTGGGTCCTGCCGAAAGTAGCCCGCCAATGCTGCTGGTGGTGACGGTGGTGGTGGCGGTGGCTCCACCCTGGCCTCCGCCGCCAGTGGTGGTGGTCGTCGTCGCCGTCGCTGTGAGAGAGCTCGGCCTTCCGGAAGAACAAGCGCCATTGTTGCCCACAATGCCGGCTAGTCCGCCGCTGCCCGAGGCAGCGCCACCGAGGCTCGTCGCAGCTCCTGATTGCCCGGCTTGTGATTGCTGCAGGAAAAAAGCAAGTGTTAGAAGGGGAAAAAAAAAAAAAAAAAACGCCCAGACAAATCCGCTCTAGAACTCTTCACGAGGAATAAACAAAGAGTACAAAAGCAAGCACAGAAAAAAATCCGGAAGGACGAGTACGAATGCTCACGGCCTGGAGAAACTAAACAGGAAGAACAACAGAGAAGATGGAAGAACACATTGGATCCATCCAGCATTGGATCGATGCGATGAGAGACTGACCTGGGATCTATAGGTTGTGCCGTCGGGCTCCACGATCCATCCCGCCTCCGTGGCCAAAGCTCGCAAGACGTCGTTGATGTCGGCCCTGGGCGGGAGATTGTAGCCGCCGTGCTTCCTCAGCCCCGAGTAAATCTTGGACGTGATCGCTCTCCTGTGCCGCTCCCTCAGCTTCGTCTTCTCCTTCTCCTTCTCGCTGAGCTTCACCATTAGAAGAGAAAGCCGATGGATCGATCGTCACGGCGCGGGGGAGAGAGATGGAAATATTGGCGGAGATGGAGAGGGAGGATCGATATTTCGAATCGATGATCAGCTATCCGATCCACAGCCACTGCGGCAGCATTCTTGGATCGCCGCGCTGCTGCATTGGCGCCGCTGCCGCCGCTGCTCTGCCCGATCTTCCAGCCGCTTGCGCCACCGCTGCAAAGAACACGAACGCCACGGCGATTCCTTGGCCTCCATTCCCTTGCCCGAGCTCCAGAGACTACTGCCTAGCTCCAACTTTCGATCGATCCCTTGGCAGCGAATCGCGCCGCCACTCCACTCTCTCTCTCTCTCTCGCTCTTTCTTCTTTCCTACACCTAAAATCTAATCCTCAGAAGCCTCCAAGCGGACAACCACCTCCCAGGGTAGGAAAAAAAACACAGCGCCGCGACGGACGGCTAGGATGAGTCGTTACACGAATATTCTGCGCACCGGAATCCGATAGGCAATTATTTTTCCTGGGAATGCGAGTTTGAAATAAAATCTTTATTCTTAACGTTAAAACGGACGGACGGATTGGACGGACGGGTAGCCACCGGTTTTTACCGGACGATGCCGGTCATTGGTCACTGACAGCTGGCGGCGCTAGGAAACGCCTGTGTACATGATGCCAAGGACGCGGGGTAAGTAGCTTAACTGTAGTCTACTGCGAGATCTTAAGGGATATAGGCACAAATTCTATTTCTCAAGTAAGAAATGGGAATTAGCTAAATATTAAAAATGATAGCAACTTTGGGATTTTGTTTTTTAAAAGGGTTGGTGTAATCAATTAGCAGTAAATCCTCTATTCTAATCCTCTATTAATCCTCTATTCTAAGTCTTCATAGAGGACTAATGTTTACTGCTAATTGATTACATTACGATACTGAATATATAGTTATTGAGGTATGATTTTTGGGTTTTTACTTTTACAAAAAAGGGTTGGTAATGTTTTAATATTAGTGTCCCATAAGATCTGGCGAGGATTAATTTTTACTGCAGATTGATTACGTTCGTCCCCCATGAGATCGATGAAATTGTTGGTGGAGATTAAATTTCACTACCAATTGATTTAAGGTATTTGCTTTGACAGCTATCTTCATTGTATGAAATTTGGCAATTAACATATTAGATTTGGCCTTATCCTTGGAGAATTTAGAATGAAGGATCATATCTTCATTTTTACAGCTAGTTCATTACATTGCACTTATAGTTGAAGATTTTTGGGATTTTAGTGATCTATGAGACCTACAAGATTTTTGGCCTTCACTTAGGTGTTGATAGAGGATTAACCAATTGATTACATTATACTTATGTTTTTTCTTATAAAAAAGAGTTGACATGTGCTAAGTTAACTTATTTTTTATAACAATAAATACATTTTACTGCCAATTGATTACATTTCACTCCTTTTAGCATTTGAGGCATGATTTAGAATAATTTCCTTTTAAATTTTAAAATTATTGATGATGTGCATACTTTTACTTTAATTGACCCATTACAACTACATGTATACAAGTTGCTTTATTCAATTTGTTTTTAAAAATCTGAATTTATTTATAATAAAAACATTATTAGTGGTGTTATATGGAGTCTTGTTTTATTGTCACCCCTAAAGTTTTTAGAATAATGTAATGCTATTAAACTATATGTTTGGTGCTACTCAAAATTCTACATCACTTAAGATACTCCTGATTTCTAGCTATAAAAAACCTAATCAATAAATAAAAAAACTAAAATATTTTAAATTATTCAATTCAATACTTTTGATGCTAATAATGAGTAATCAAGCAAAAATAAATGGGTTTGAGCAAACACTCAAATCCATTTTGAGTGTTTGAGCAATCTTTAACCTCCTTAATTTGAATTTCCTATTAAGTGAAGGTAGTGAACAATCAATTTAGCAAAATCTAAAATCCTTAATTTAAACTTCCCAAAACATCATCCCAATGACAATTAATTTCATCAAGACCCTTAACCAAGAGGAAAGAGATGTGCACTTTTGTTTATATGTCATTTCATTGTATCAATAGATTGTCTATGATACCATTTTCTTTAGTTCTTTACAATTTACAAAAATGAAAATTAATTTTTTAAGTAGTCATATAAACCCATGTCATTTGTTTCGATACCACATGTATAATAATAACTTTTTCTTAAATCTAATTATTATATAAGTTTTATGCTCTATTCAACTTCAAAATAACTATAATAAAAGTTTTCTCATAGTAGAACATATCCAGTAAAAACATTTGATACATATTTTTAAATGTTTCATAATTATATCTAAAAATAATATAAATTAATAAAAATTTAAAATATATTCATAAAAATTAATATAAACTTTTATAATTATCATAATTACCATAATCACTATAGTAGGAATTTAAAGAAACTATGGATATATTCCATAGAAATTCTAATTCTAGAATGTAATTCCTCTTTAATTTAGAGATTATTAATATTGTTTATAGTTTCTTTTGAATCTTAATCTTAATCTTAATTAAATGTTTTATTTCAAGCTTCAAAGATTTGGGAAGATTTTGTGAAGATATAATATAAGTATTTAGTGAAGTTGCATAGGTTAAAATTACATTAATTTCTAAGTATTGATATGTTTTATAAAAACTAATGTTGAGATATTTTTGATTGCTTGCTTTCAACAATTGTGGTTGTGCATTTTAATTTTTGCAAACTATAATATCATGCTTGAGTAACAAGTATTACACAAATGAGATGTCCTTAGTATAAAATAATTTGTAAAATTGAACATAAATTTTAATATAAAATGGAGTATGATAAGGAATTTATAATAATAATAAATTGTTTTGATTAAACTGATGTTTTTGATTGGGTTGTGCATTTAAATTTGTGTAGATTATAATATCATGCTTGAGTAACAAATATTGCACAAGTGAGATGTATTTTTTATCAGACCATTTTAAGAAGTTGGATGTATATATTAATACAAAATAGAGTATAATAATTGTTTTGATTAAACTCTTTAGAGTTCATCCTATTGCACATCATATTGCATAAATGTTTTATATAAAAATGTATTGTATGTGATCATACAAGAAGATTTGTATAAATTATTACTATAGAACGATAAATAAGGATAAAATAGTTACAAAAGGCTTTTTTATTAAATAATTGCCAAAAATAAAGTGTGTTACAGAATTGTTAACATGAATATACATTACATAAAACTTGACAAAATCAGGTTTGGTGCTAAATGCATTGTTTAAACAAATATATAAGAAAAATGTTGGAAGCTGAAATTCTTCATTACTATAAGAACTCCATGATTGTTAAAGTGAAATCCATGCACAACGTTGAACTGTATCAAACTCAAGCCATAGAGATGTAACATCTATGTGGAGTTTGAGTCGCAGAAACTCAATCCAACTACCGCATTAGGTCCTCACCTCCATGGCTATTTTGCAGATCACTTTGTATATCCCTTGATTTTAAACCTTCTCTTGCTTTTGCAAAGTGGAATAATGTTGGATCCTGTTGTGCATCTTACCCTCAAAAAGCTTTTTCCATCCATCTCAAAGATGTAAATAACAACCCAGTTCAGAATTCCCCAGTAGTTTTCCCATGCTTGGGAAGGAGTCCAGACTCTGTGGCAACAGCATGGAGGAGCCCAGCAAGCTTCTTGACCTCTTTTCTACATACCAACCCTTAAATGATTACACAGAATCCATGGCTGGTTGTTGAGCAGATAAAAAAAAGGTTTGGCGGAGCCTGCATTTCACAGAAATCTTAGCATGCCATCCATCGACTCTAGATTTGCCCGATGAGCTGCTCAAATCGTGGCATGTGTTCCGGTTGCAGCCCCAACGAGATACTGAGGCTGCCATCCCCTGTCCCGCTGGGAAGAACATAAACCAGGCCCTCAAACGCGATCACCGCCGGCCCCATGAAAACTGGCCTCCCCCATCCAAAGTCCGCATCGTAAACCGGCAGCCGGCTCCAGCTCGTGATCCCCAGATTCGGCGACCTGAAAGTGTGAGCTCCCCTCACAAGCTTGTACAAATCCGGCTGGAGTTCCAAGTAGTCGAGCGCCGAGCGCAAGTACTCGTCGTTCATCCTGGACACCGCATTGTGTATCACACTGGCCGCGTAGTAGAGTGGCCTCGACACCAGGTCTCCGGCCAGCGCCATCGGCGTGCAAGTGAAGATGACGTTTCCGAAGTAGTGCTTTGGAAGCGGCGGCACAACTCTCGCTCGCCCGTCGGTGGCGATGTAAAGTTTGGTTTCTTGGTCGTCGTCGAGGCCGCGAGCGAGACACATGGACCTCCAGATGTGGCCGGACAGCATCTCGTAGCTGCTGTACGTGGTGTTGGTCTCTTCGTCCGTGGCCTGGCTCTTCAAGGCCTGGAGCTGTTCTTTCGTAAACTTGAAAAGTCCTACTGCGATCCTGGGAGGCGCATCGTCGCCGGTGTGAGGCTTTGCTTTTCCGTTTGAGACCGAGTGCCCGTTCGTGGCCGCTGCCTGCTTGAGAAGCGGCGGAGGGTGGTACTCGACGTGCGGAAACTTTGGGACCGGTGGCTTGTTCGCCCTGAGCAGCGTCCGATCGATGTATGGAACGATCTTTGGATCCTCGCCCCTGGCCATAGCAGCCCAGGTGTTGATGAAAGTTATCCCAGACATGCCGTCCGCGACATGGTGTTCCATTCCGACGCCGAGAGAGGCTCCACCGCATTTAAAGCGAGTGATCTGCGAGAAAAAGAAGTCGAACACAACAGTTTTCATAAATGAACGAAACGCCAAAAGCACTGTGTACGGGAATGACAAAAGAAAACAAGAACAAGGAAGACGACCAAAGGAAATGCCAAAAAGAAAGAGCAAAGTGGGAAAAATTATTGCTTTACCTGAAGAACGAGAAGTGGAAAGGAGCCAATGTCTTGGGTGTAATCCACGGAAGGGATGAGGCGCTGGAACGAGACATCCGGGGCGAAATCGCGAGCATACTCATCCACGCTCGCATTGGCCGCCGCCGCCTCCACGAGAAGCACGCCCTCGCCATTACAGTTGATCTCAAACCGCCCATTCTCGTCCTTCTTGAGCCGCCCAGCCATGGGATAGAACGGCACCAGCGCCTTGGCCAGCGCCTCGCGGAGCACGCCGCCCTCGAAATATCCCTCGCCGCCGCTCGGATCCGGGCGGTAGAAGTAGACGCTGGCGGTGTGGATGCGCGGGATCACGAGGTCCACGTTGGAGTTCCACAGCACCCGCTGTGGCGTCGCCTCCGCGGGCCTCACCATCGTCTCCCTCACCACATTGATCTCCATAGCTGCCAAGAACGATCCAAACGCGAAATCTGAGCTCCCGGCAGGGACT